ATATGACCCCTTTAAAGATATTATTCACTCAAAAATGAATATTCTGTCATTAATAACTAGGGAGATAATGTTATTATCGCGATAGCAATACTCTCTCGGTGTCATCGTGGTCACATGACGATATAAAACGATAGGTCTTCCAGGCAAAAAGTGTAGTTTTTTAAATATACTGTATTTAAACTACTTATTCTAACATAAAATATTTTTAAAGTTGTGTTTGGGCCATTATGCTTTGGCACAGTATCTGTCAAACAAACTAAATTCGAAAGCACAATATGGCTTAATCCCTTCATCAACTTTTTGATGTTCAAGGCCCAGAAAGGTAGTAAGGACATAGATAAAATAGTCTATGTGGCATCAGTGGTTCAACCATTATTTTATGAAGATACAAGAATACTTTTTTTGCTCAAATAATTTTTAAAAAATGTCCTTACTAAGTTTCTGCATGGCCTTGAAAATGCAGTTGCATTGCTGTATATGCAGGGTCATAAAGCTTTTGGATTTCATAAAAAAATATCTTGATTTTTCATAAATCATTTTAATATGCTGATTTGCTGCTGAAGAAACACTTCTTTTTATTATCAATGTTGAAAACAGATTTGCTGCTCAATATTTTTGTGGAAACCATGATACTTTTATTTTTCATAATTCTTTGATGAGTATAACATTTAGAAGAAAAGCTTTTATTTGAAATTGAAATCTTTTGCAACATTATAAAGTATTAATTCCTTTAAAAATTAATACTCACACCAAATTTTTAAAAGATACCACACATAATTTGGCTCGCCTCATTAATATATATATATAAAAAAAGCGTGTTACCGTGAGGTTGTTGGACTTGCTGACTTTAAAGGATAAGTCCACTTCCAGAATATACATTTCCTGATAAGTGGACTTATCCTTTAAGTGCCTGAATCAAACCAACTTCAGTCATTAATGTTAAGACCAGCCAGTAGGACCACCTGCTCTGCTGACATGTCATACAACCCTGCTATGCAGCTCTTGTTTAATTTGTAATGGAAATGTAAAGTTATTCAAGGTGAATCATCTGTTATCCTCACTGTCTCACCATTCTTTCTCTTCCTTTCCTGCTCCTGATGACCTAAAAACATCCTGCCATCTCTATTAGTTTGTGACGGGGCCTCGGCCGACCCACCATCAGGTAAATCCCACAGACCTATCAGACACTTCTTAAGAAGCTTTTTTTTTAGCCATTTATAATTGATGATATTATTGTATTATAATAAACACATTATTTTCAATACTTGCATATTACGACACCTACTGTATTCAGTTTACTACAAATACTCCTAAGTAATAGCTCAACCAGTGAGTTGAGTTTGGTGATGCTTGTGGTGCAGAAATGCCTCTCTTCAGCTTTATGAACCATTATAACTAGAGATGTATTCATATTACATATTCATGTGTTAGCTCGACTGTGTAACGAGCTCCCCGTCCTTGAGAACCAGACATCAGAAGTATCTCCTCTGACTCATCCGTTTCTTGTCTTTTCTGAATGAGCGTCTAAATGATGATGTTTTGTATTCATGTTATCTGATGAGCAGATGTGCGATGAAGACTGACGCTGATCGCTAATGCTTGTCAATACTGTTAGTGCACCTTTTATTAGATGAAATACTTCAGTGTGTTACTTTCCTGAGCAGAAACATTGTTGTACGTGTTTAGAAGAATTGGGCTTTTGTCAGTCGTAAACCAAATGCATTCAGAGGTCATTAAGATCATTAGAATGGAAGTTGCTTTGGGCAGCTTTACACTTGTCCGTACATGCATGAGTGGGTGTGTTCCAGATATTCCATCCGCTGTGCTTTGGTGTTTCATTACAAGGAGAAACTTGTTTGTCATTTGTTGCTAATGATTTGTTTATGCGTTTTGCGTGTAGCCACAAGCCCATGCGAGTGCGTCCACAAGCATCTGACCTCTAAGGAAAGTTCTGTGACTTTCTGCCCCAACCTGCCACATGTCTCTCTCTTTCCAGTGGCTTAAATTTAATTGCACCAGAATTAAAATCACAGGAAACAGCAAGATTTGCTGTACGGTACTGACACAAACTATAAGGAAAGCCTTAAGGTGCGGTCACATTAGCAAACTTTTGGCGAGATTGCTGCAAGAGCTCCATTGTTCATTGTCAAGTGTAGCAATTAATGAAGCTCACACAGAAGTCACGTTCAAATCAAGCAGCTTTCTATTATTGAACGTGAATTTTGCCGAGCAGTTGTATATGCCACCACACCTTGAGTGTAAAGGTGCTGTCACTTTTACTATTGTTTGGCAAATTTTCACAGACAAAATCAATCACAACCAGGAATTTTCTCATGCAGATTTTGCAGTGGGTTCAGAATCAGAAAATTACTTCTGTGTGTGAAATGTTTCATGTATCGCTACATTATGGACAGTATACAGTGGACCTTTTTTGCCTTAATACTTTTATTCAGAGGGGAAATAAAGCAAAAAGCATAACAGTGTACAGAGGTCTGTGAAGGGTTCACCTTATAGAACAGCACTTGACTATGTAATGTGCAGCAGTGAAAGAAGCTTTGACATCTGTGCTGATGTTAAAAGAGCTGAGTTAAGATTTCATTTCTCTCCTGTGGCTGTGGCAAGTTCCAGCTCGCTTCCACTGCAGACTGGGTAAAACTGATGCCTACAGGCCGTTAGAAAACAAACAGAAATAGGAGAGAGTGGAAAGGGAGTGTCTCACACACACACACACACACACACACACACAGAGCAGAGGCTGGAATAGTTGGCTGGTGTTGAATGTTGGTCAGCAAGAGAAATTAAGAACATTGGTCAGAGCCTCTGTGGTGCATGATGAAAGATGCTAGAAGCACTTGTGATGATAATATATTTATATATTAATTTTAATATATAGATATATATATTGAATATATTTTAATTCAGTGACTGAAATACATTTATTTTAAAGAAATAAATACTTTTGTTCAGTACGGATGCATTAAATGAATGCTTTTAATTAATGCTTTTCTTTTGAACTTTCTATTTATCAAAGAAAAAAAAAATATTAAGCAGCACAACTGTTTGAAACCCTGATAATAATAAATGTTTCTTGAGTGGCAAATCAGCATATCAGAATGATTTCAGAAGGATTATGTGACACGGAAGACTGGAGTAGTGATGCTGAAAATTCAGCTTTGCCATCACAGGAATAATTACATTTTAAAATATATTCACATAGAACAGTTATTTTGAATTATAATAATATTTAGTGTTTTTGATCAAATAATCCAGCCTTGGGCTTGTTAAAGGGATAGTTCACCCCAAAATGAAAATGCTGTCATTAATTACTCACCCTCATGTTGTTCAAAACCCGCAAGACTTTCGTTCATTTTCGGAACACAAATTAACATATTTTTGATGAAATCCGAAAGCTTTCTGACTCTGCATAGACAGCAACGCAATTACCACGTTCAAGGCCCAGAAAGGTAGTAAGGACATCATTAAAATAGTCCATGTGCCATCAGTGGTTCAACCATAACATTATGAAGCTACAAGAATACTTTTTGTGCGTAAAAAGAAAACAAAAATAACAACTTTATTCAACAATTTCTCCATGTCAGTCTTTGATGCGTTCACGAGAGTAACATGGTGTATGCGTGTACATTCCTCTGCTTGCAAACACGGTGCAGTGCATCCAAGTTCTATGTCAGAATGCCATCTTCTGAGTGAGCAGCATCACACACATGCGTGGTACTGACAGGGAAGACTGACAAAAAATAAAATTACAGTTGAACCACTGATTTCACTGTCTCGCCATTCTTTCTCTTCCTTTCCTGCTCCCGATGACCTTAAAACATGCTGCCATCTCTATTAGTTTGTGACCCTTTCTGGGCCTTGAATGTGGTTAATTCGCTTTGCTCTCTATGCCGGGTCAGAAAGCTCTCGGATGTCATCAAAAATATCTTAATTTGTGTCCTGAAGATGAACGTGAGAGTGAGTAATTAATGACAGAATTTTCATTTTTAGGTGAACTATCCCTTCATAATCCATAACTATCCCTTAATCCATAATTTACTTGCAAAATGCCCATAGTTACAGAATCACCCTAATATATATATATAGGAGCATCCATTTGTTTAATTCACGTTCCACATTCAATTTGTCCCCCTCTATTATTTTCTCTAATGCTCTTTCCTATCCCTGTCATAGATCCACAATCTCGCATGCCCTTTCTCTCTCTTTCTGCCATTCAGATACATGCATTCATTCTTATCTCTGTCCCTTACAAACACACAGACACCAAGTCTCTGCTTCCATCCCTCCCTGGCATTTCCACACACACGCTCTCTCTCTTCCGCACACACTTGCACGGCATTGTGACAGTAGTTTAGCACAGAGTGGTCTTCGCCCCAGGCTGCGCTCGATCCCCTGTCGGCCTGTATGAGTCACAGTGAGAGGAAATCACCCATTACACACACACACAAGCAATGTTTGTTCTCCAGTGGTGGTCTTCTGTTTCTGTTTCTTTTCTTTCTTGTTTCCTTTGTCAGGTCTCTGTTTTCACCTTTGACCCAAAGGTCTATAAACCAATATTTATGACAGTTTTTAAAAAATTTATTTTTTATGAAGTATTAAATACTTTATAAATACCCCTCCCCCGAGATTTATAATTTTAGTTTTAGCTGTATTTAATTTTTATTCAATAAAAACCACAATGAGTTAAATGGTCATTTTAGTAGCGAAATTTGATTTATTCAAGGTGTTTTATGAGGACAGGTTCTGTATAAAAAAATTTAAGTACATTTTTGGTTTTATTTCATTTTGGAGTCACAAAAAAATTTAACTTTTGGGATGATTGTAATTTAACTTTCCCACATCTTTTTCTGAGCATTTGTTCAGCCATTAACCATCTTTACTTGGCATCTCTGCTCATTTGTTGCTGAATCCGTTGTTTCCTTTTGTCCTTATGCAAACAGAACGTACTGTGTCCTCATATGCCGTAGATTTAATTAGAGAGCTGTTTCTCTCAGCAAGTTGTTTTAGTGTCAGATCTTCTTTCCAGCTACTAGTGTGAGTTGCCCCAGCATTAGGGCTGCACGATTATGACAAAAATCATAATTGACGATTATTCCCTTGAAATTGTAATTGCGATTATTAATCACAATTTACATTGAATAATGTTTATACCATCATTTGATGCAACTCCATGCCATATTTTTATATGAAAATAAACAAGCTGAAAAACCTTTAGTGCTTTTCTATAGTATTAAGCCTCAAATGTCAAATATACATTGGATTGGTTTCTACTTTAAATTATAAAAAAGTAAATATTTGAATGGTATTATAATGTTATACTAAAACTAAAACAAATGAAAAACCCTTAAGATAACATGTAGAAAGAAAAAACATATCTTAAGCGTGCAGAATAACATAAGTGGACTTTGAACGATTAATTGCCGCTTTGAACGATTACGTAATTGTGGCATCCATAATTGTAATTGCGATTAGAAATTTGATTAATTGGGCAGCCCTACCCAGCATTCCACCCTATTACACGATCTCACACATAGTGCATCCATTTACAGTGAAGCATGCCAGTCCAGTCCCGTAACCACATCATTTTATAGGGTACGTAGTGAAACCCAGCTTGGGTCAGTCTTTTATTTTCTGTGTATTTAAAGAAATCAACTCATCCAGTTCTTCCTGAGCTTTTTGATAGTCACATAATGATAAATGCTCTCCAAAGAGCACAACTCAAGACTCTCAACATCATTTTTATTGGAGGACTGACACTCTGAGCACAGACAGTAATGTGTAATCTCCGCTCTGCTTTCAGACACGAGCGGATCAGTTCTGTGGTGTTAAATCACTTTTAAGCCACCCATCAAGGGGCATCTGCTGCATTTATTGTTCTTGTCTCTACAAACACTCGTGGCTTTGGGAAATCTCTCAGAGGCTTGCTTAATGATAGGCTTGGATTATTCTGAGCCATGTTGTTAGATGTTTTTGGGTGTACCTGAGCCGTGTGATTAGGTTTGATGTTGTCTAAGGGAGAACTGAAAATAACCTTTTGCCTTGGAAATTATGGCAAATTGTGGAAATGTATCCACAAAAATATTAGACAGCAGAACTGTTTTCAACACTAATAAGAAATGTGTGTTAAGCATCAGATACGCATATTAGAAAGATTTCTGTAGGATCATGTGACACTGAAGACTAGAGTAAAGCCCTGTTCACACCAAGGACGATAACTATAAAGCTAACTATAAAACTAACGATATTAGCGTCCACACCAGTGAACGATATCGTCTGTTTATTCTTACCCCATGCGTGTCTGCCGTTTAAATTCTCAAGCTCATTATAGCAGGTTTTTATTATAGCAAAGTTTTTATCGTTCATCAGCTGGAAAAAAATCGTTCTGAAAGTGATTCCAACAATGTCGTTTCACTGTGCCTTTATCGTTATAGCTGTGGTGTGGACTCTGCTATTCTTTAATACTGAGAAAGATTTTTAGAACTATATCTTATGAAAGGGCCTTAATAGCTACTGAAAATTCAACTTCACAATCACATGAATAAATCACACTTAAATGAAAAATAATTCAAATCTAAGAAAAATTCTAATATATTAACTAGAAAATATATTCTGAAATATATAGAAAAAATATTCAAATAGAAAACTATAATTTTTTATTATAATACTAACACCTAATTTTAAATTTTTTTTTGAAAGCCTGAAAAAGATGGAATGGAATTGAATAAGCTTCTAAGCATGGCCATAGTAATCAACATTTTAGTGTGATGGATTTTTTTTTAAATTGTGTATGATGGTTGGGGCAAAATGGTGTGAAATCACAACATCTAGTCTTGGAATCGAACATTTTGTAGAACCTGTTTTCTACTGGAACTATTTACTAAATCAATCATCTGTCTGTTGTGACAGACACCCGGGAATGAGTAGCGCACCAAAAATCAGCAGTAGACTTCAGAAAATAATGTCCTTTAATTTCTCCACTAGCTTTCAAATAAACCTGCAGATTCTGCTTAATAACTGGAACATTGCTCACAACAGGCAACCTGAAGTTTCAACAGTAGTTGCAATGACATTTATTGTTAAAGTTGGTGAATTTGTACATTATGCTGCATTGATGGATTTGGCTTTAAATGAGAGGAAGTAAGAAATTACATTTCTCAGAAAGAATTTTACTGTCCTGACTATTAGGACCCTAAAGCAAAACATAATAATAACCAAAATAATAAAGTCTGGGTAAGCCCAAAATATTACATTTTTGCAAATGTATTCATTCCAAAAATAGTCACAATTAAATGTCTAAATATATTACAAACTATAATGTTTTTTACTTACAATCATTTCAAGGGATTGAAAATGTCTCATACTGGAAGAATCAACCACACAGACAGACAGACATTCAGACTTTATTAATCCTATGAGAAAAACTGCATATGGTGTATGCATATCGTATGTGTAAGGCCCGTTCACACCAAGCATGATAACTAAAGATAACGATAAAGATACAGTACTAAAAATCATTCTCAATATTAAAGAATAGCAGAGTCCACACCACAGCTATAAAGATAAAGGCACAGAGAAACAAAATCATTGGAATCGCTTTCAGAACTATTTTTTCCAGCTGATGAATGATACAAACATTGACACCCAATCAGAATCAATCCTGCTATAATGAGCTCAAGAATTTAAATAAACAGACGATATTGTTCATTGGTGTGGATGCTAATATCGTTATCTTTATAGTTATCGTTCATGGTGTGAATGGGGCTATAGAATCAGGCAGAGAGAGAGAGAGAGGTCACCTCTTGCTCCAGTGCTGCCCGGCTGCTATCGCCCACTGACTGGGTTTGCTGAGGTAATATTTGCTGTGCTGAGTGAGAGAGAGAGACAAATAGAGGGAAAGCGGGGGAGGAAATTATGGGGGAGGGGACGACTCCACCAGCAGGCATGCAGTATTCTCCCGATGAATAAACCGTTGTGCCAAAGCTGTGCCACCACCCTGTTACAGCGGAGAATGAGAATACTGCTCATTTCTCCAGGCTGCTGTGTGTGTGTGTGTGTGTGTGCTTATGTTTGTTTCATTGTGTCTGTTTGATGAGCAGAATTGATATAATTCATCTAGCACATATGATCACTGCTGTTCCAGCGCCTGAATATCAGATTGTCAATTAACTGCAAATTCAAATGCCTCATGATTTGAATACACTGCCTGACAGACAGGAGAATGTCCTGAGGTGAACTGACTTGTCAACACTGACTTGTTTCTCTTCTCTCTCTGTTTCTACTTAACTCTCATTTCTTTGACTTCCTCCTCAGTTCCTCCACAGGACTCAGTTACAGCCAGCACGGCCTGCCCTTCCTACCAACAGCCCCTCTATTCGGCCAGGCTCACAGACCCCAACGGCTACGGTTTATCCTTCCAACCAGCCCATCATGATGACTATGACGCATATGCCCTTTCCTACCCAGACACACCAATACTACATTCCTCAGGTAAAGAGTCAGTAAACCTGTTACTGTGAAATCACCAAAAATGGATTGTATACACAAAATAATTTCAGGATTCCCACAGTGATGGAAAAACCCTTAATATTATGGAATTTTTAATTTGAGAGATTTATCAAATGTTTTTAATGCAATTTTATTTGCCGTTATATCTGTTTCATTATTTAACTTATTTATAAATAAAACCTGAATGGGATGTTTTTTTATTGCAGAAATGGGTTTCATTTTATGTATGGTATTGTGTTTTATTTAGATTTGTATGGTAGAATTTGTATGGTTTATAATTGTATTTTTATATTACATATATAAAATGATTGTATATTAAACATTTTATAGTAAATATGACAAAATGTTAATATACAACATATTTAAGGAATTGTTTGTGTATTACCATGTAATATTTTAATTTGTTTAATTCATGAAAAATTCATGAAATATATTTATATTAAATGTTTGTAAGTATTGAAGTATTAAGTATTTTTCTTTCATTTCTTTAAATAAAATTCACATGGGATGCTTAACAAAACATATTCTTTAAATGCATTTAAGGCTACAGGTGCATCTCAATAAATTAGAATGTCATGGAAAAGTTCATTTGGTAACACTTTACTTGAAGGGGTGTGCATAAGACTGACATGACACCTTCATAATCATGACATGACACCTACATAATAATGACATGACACATGTCATGAATATGAAGGTTTTTATGCATGTTTATGACAACTGTCATTAAGTGTAATTCGCTCAGTTATGTCATTTTTAATGCAAATATGACATTATTTGACCTAACCATAACCTACCCCTAACCATAGCCCATAACAAAGACATCTCAAAAAATGTCATCTTTGCATTAAAAATTACATAACTGAGCGAATGACACTTAATGACAGTTGTCATAAACATGCATAAAAACCTTCATATTCATGACATGTGTCATGTCATTATTATGTAGGTGTCATGTCATGATTATGAAGGTGTCATGTCAGTCTTATGCACACCCCTTCAAGTAAAGTGTAACCGTTCATTTATTTCTGCAATTCAACTCAAATTGCAAAACTCGTGTATTAAATAAATTCAGTGCACACAGACAAAAAACACAATGGACCAACAGCAGCAGATGACATTGCACCCCAAATCATCACAGACTGTGGAAACTTAACACTGGACTTCAAGCATCTTGAGCTATGAGCTTCTCCACCCTTCCTCCAGACTCTAGGACCTTGGTTTCCAAATGAAATACAAAACTTGCTCTCATCTGAAAAGAGGACTTTGGACCACTGGGCAACAGTCCAGTTCTTCTTCTCCTTAGCCCAGGTAAGATGCCTCTGATGTTGTCTGTGGTTCAGGAGTGGCTTAACAAGAGGAATACGACAACTGTAGCCAAATTCCTTGACACGTCTGTGTGTGGTGGCTCTTGATGCCTTGACCCCAGCCTCAGTCCATTCCTTGTGAAGTTCACTCAAATTCTTGAATTGATTTTGCTTGACAATCCTCATAAGGCTGCGGTTCTCTCGGTTGGTTGTGCATCTTTTTCTTCCACACTTTTTCCTTCCACTCAACTATCTGTTAATATGCTTGTATACAGCACTCTGTGAACAGCCAGCTTCTTTGGCAATGAATGTTTGTGGCTCCTTGTGAAGGGTGTCAATGATTGTCTTCTGGACAACTGTCTGATCAGCAGTCTTCCCCATGATTGTGTAGCCTAGTGAACCAAACTGAGAGGCCATTTTGAAGGCTCAGGAAACCTTTGCAGGTGTTTTGAGTTGATTAGCTGATTGGCATGTCACCATATTCTCATTTGTTGAGATAGTGAATTGGTGGGTTTTTGTTAAATGTGAGCCAAAATCATCACAATTAAAAGAACCAAAGACTTAAACTACTTCAGTCTGTGTGCATTGAATTTATTTAATACACGAGTTTCACAATTTGAGTTGAATTACTGAAATAAATGAACTTTTCCACGACATTCTAATTTATTGAGATGCACCTGTATATAAAATTTTAATCAGATGATTAACAAAAGTCATTTGCTGTTTTGTATAGTAGAAATTAATATAATTGAAGCTCAGTGAATATTAAAATATTGTATTTTTGTGCAGTTGTACACGTATATAAATATATATTTAAATGAGATTCTCCATCTCTTCTCTTAGTATCGTCATAGTGCACCTTACGTGGGACCCCCGCAGCAATATGCCATCCAGCCGCCAGGGTCTGGAACCTTCTACCCAGGACCCGGCCCTGGGGAATACCCTGCTCCATATGGCAAGTACAGGCCTCTCTATAGTGCACATTTCAGTGTGAGCATGCTTGCATCACACCCAGCTGGATTATATAAACTCCAGGTAGTTTCAGTGTGTGTCTGATTAACTAACTAAGAAATGACCCCGTTTTCAGAAAGCGATTCACTCCGAGGCTGTTTAGATCTCATGTGAAAGCAGCTCACATAGCGACGTGACTCACTTTTTTCCTTCCTTCCATCTCTTTTCCAACAACAGCTGCCGGGCCGCCATATTACGCCGAACTTTTTTCCATTTAATATTTCTAAAATTTCATTTATTCCTGTAATGGAAAAGCTAAAGTTTTAGCAGCCATTACTCCAGTCTTCAGTGTCACATGAGTCTTCAGAAATCATTCTAAATCACACTGATTTGATGGTTAAAAAAAAAAAATGTCATCAAATTTTTTTACTGACCTCAAACTTTTGAATGGTGGTTTAATAAAGGAATGTTTTCAGCAAACAATGCCTTAAAATATAGTTGGTACCGAAGTACTGGTACTTCTGACAGCCCTCTGCGATCGACCCGGATGCTTTAGTGAGTTATTTGTTGTTTTGCGCCATTGTTCTCCCAGATTCGGATCCGAGACCCCAACCAGGGTGGAAAGGACATCACAGAGGAAATTATGTTTGGAAGCCGGAATCCTACTCCTCCTACAGGGCACCTGGTCTCCACCTTAACCCCACCTGCAGGACGGCCCTCCTCAACACCAACCCCACCCACAGGACACCTGTCCTCCACACCCACCCCTCCACAGGCAAGAAATACATATTGTGCATTGCCTCCACAAAATGGCATCACTTCAAAACAGGGGCAGGTGTAGTCAGAGCTAAAATTACAAGTAGTTTCTTAGGAAAGTGAATTATCAGGTGCCAGAATTTGTTCTTTCTTGGGTATTTATACTTGAAGTAATTATTCACTTCAGTGGAGTGCAGTGCTTAATGCGTTTAACACAAGTTCATGCGTCATGTGAGTGTTTAACACGTCTTTAATAATTAGCACCGCTTTAAACTCTCACTACTCATGTCCATTGGGTCCTTGGCTCAGCTGTTTTAAGCTTACCTGTCTAATGCTATTTTCCAGATATGTATAGCCACCCACTACTCTCTCTCTCTCTGGCACACAGGGTGTGCATGGATTAGTTCCAGCTCACACAGTCTGCCCCCAATCTAATCCTTATGAACACACTGAGAGCGTTAGGCTGTTGGCTGCACCATTATATGTTTATGTATATTTTGTTCTATGGACAATCCAAAAACAAGTGAATCGATAAAGTGTGTCAACAAGCAGCAAAATGTTTCAGCAGAAGTGTGAATGACAGTGGCTGCCACAATCCAGTCGCTCTTGACCTTAACCAGCGCTAATGACTTTTACAAAAATATAAAATGGCAGTCACATATGATGTCAGATGCTAACACCTTTAATGTATACACCATGGCATTGAAGGATTACCATATATGTGACCCTGGACTAGAGGGTGACACGGGAGTGGATTTTCAAACCTCTCCCGTCCCATCCCGTCCCGTCCCAGTCCCAAACCCACGAAAAAACTGGGGGAAAATCCCATTCCCCCCCACTCACGTGCTGTGTTAGTTTTGGCCGGAATCTGTCAGTTACAGTAAAAAAAAATACAGTACAGATCACAGCATGCCCACTTTAGTTGAATAAAAACTAAATTTGCATTGCACACAAATTTCATGTAAATCATCCATGCTAACACACACATTTTCTATTTGAATTTTTTTCGTTTGAAAGTTGACATTTCACTCTCTATAGATTTATTTTTCATACACGGAGTTTCGAAGTTTCCTGCTGTGAGCGCACTGCTGTTCAGCTTCCACACACACTTCAATTGCGCACATTTCTGTAGGTTAACATTAGATTGAGCCATGTAAAGTTGTTACTACATACTGTATATCTTTCAGATGAAAAGCCATATGTGAGGTCAATGAATGATGGGTGAGCGTTTGGATGTCGTGCCCGATGTACTCTATTACCACATAGACCAGCCGTTAACGATCTGTCCGTCAAGGACTGCGTACGTCATTCACTTAACCAGCCACACCAAAGCAAACAGGAGGAGAGCATAAAGAGACAGGGCAACTAGAATTGAGTTAAAAATTTAAATATACAGTTTATAGTTTATTTATATAAATGTATATTTGTGTGTAAAGTTGGGTATCATATGTTATGTAGATTCCCGGTCCCGCCCACTCCCGCTGACATTTTTTCCTGTCCCGTCCCAATCACGTGATTAATAGTGATTTTGTTTCCCATCCAGCGGGATTCCCGTGACCCGTGGGATTCCCCAAAAAATGTCAGCCTCTACCCTGGACCACAAAACCAGTCATAAGTAACACGGGTATATTTGTAGCAATAGCCAAAAATACATTGCATGGGTCAAAGTGATGGATTTTTTTTTATGCCAAAAATCATTAGGATATTAAGTAAAGATCATGTTCCATGAAGATATTTTGTACATTTCCTACCGTAAATACATCAAAATGTAATTTTTGATTAGTAATATGCATTGCTAAGGACTTAATTTAGACAGCTTTAAAGGTGATTTTCTCAATATTTAGATTTGTTTCAACCTTAGATTCCAGATTTTCAAATAGTTGTATCTCGGCCAAATATAGTCCTATATTCAATTTAAAAAAAGTGACCCTTATGACTGGTTCTGTGGTCCAGGGTCACATATAACATGATATTTACATAATAAGCCAAAGTACTTCAAAAATGCAATGGTAGTACCAAGGTTTATGTCCAAAAAAAAAAAACCATTTCCTACCGTAAATACATCAAAATGTAATTTTTGATTAGTAATATGCATTGCTAAGGACTTAATTTAGACAGCTTTAAAGGTGATTTTCTCAATATTTAGATTTGTTTCAACCTTAGATTCCAGATTTTCAAATAGTTGTATCTCGGCCAAATATAGTCCTATATTCAATTTTAAAAAAGTGACCCTTATGACTGGTTCTGTGGTCCAGGGTCACATATAACATGATATTTACATAATAAGCCAAAGTACTTCAAAAATGCAATGGTAGTACCAAGGTTTATGTCCAAAAAAAAAAAAAATGGTATTGCCATGCTACCTGTCAAAAAAGATCTGAGATTACCATGTCCAAAAAATATGATATTATCATGGTACCTGTCCATGTAAAACATCAGATTGTATTCTGTATATTGTATTGTATTCTGTTAAGACAATGTATTAATATGGTACCTGTTCAAAAAATGCACCCTTATCATGTCCAAAAACATGGTAATACCATGGTATCTGTCCAAAGAAACTTGTTTATCAGATTGTATTCTGTATATTGTATTGTATTCTGTTAAGACAATGTATTAATATGGTACCTGTTAAAAAAATGCACCCTTAGCATGTCCAAAAAACGTGGTTTTACCAAATTACCTGTCCCAAAATTTTTTTTTTTAAAAACATGAGATCACTATATACAAAAACATGGTAACACCAATGGTACCTGTCCAAAAAAACATGCTTATCATGTCTAAAAACGTGGTTTTACCACAGTACCTGTCCCCCCCAAAAAAAACATGAGATCACTGTATCCAAAAACATGGCATTACCATGGAATCTGTCCAAAAAACATGGTACTATCTGGTTCAAAATACATGAGATTACCAAAAATGCAGTATTACCGTGGTACATGTCCAGAAAAACATGAAATGACCATGCCTGAAAAACATGGCATTACCATGGTACCTGTCCAAAAAACGGGAGATTCCCTTTTCCTAAAATATTGTATTACCATTGTACATATTAAAAATGTGCAGTTACTGTGGTACCATGTTCAAAAAAACATGGTATTACTATGATTCATGCCAAAAAAATGTCTCCATGATAGATGTCCTAAAACATTGTATTGCCATGGTATTACTATGCAAGTAACTTATCATCATCATATCTTCCCAGACTTAGTCTGGGCTAGAATAAGCTAGGCTGTGGGCTAGGCTTTATGCCGATAGTCAAAGTTCTGGCTGTGCTAAGGGTGACTGATGTGTCTGCATTTTTCGTTCTCTCTTTTTCACCCTAAAACAGCCAAGAAACTGTCAGACCCCTGAACGAACAACATGTGTCAACTCACCTCAGAGACTCTCAGAGAGCCCTGCACCAGTGGATGGCAAACCTAGTTTAGGTAATAGTCCAAACCCAACCCAATTTTATTGATAACATTTGTCTCTTGAGGTCTTTCCTTTTATTAATGTTTTGACCCTCTCTTTGCTCTTGACCTTTATAGATGACAGGCCAAAAATGGAGTCTGGTCCTATAAAGCCTGTATCTCCTGGGCCTAGGCCTTCAGATTCCACTTTAGAGAAAGGAAATGCCCCAAGTCTTCCATTACTAGCCTCTTCTTCTCCAGAGTTGGCCTCTGATGTTCCCTCCTATCCTTCAAGTGGATGCATTAAACCAACTGCTGCGGAAGAACTGGAAGTTATTTCTCCTTCAACTACCAAGGCTCAGGCGCATCTGGTTAATTCTGGTGGGGACTCTATTCCTGAAACTTCTCTCAGACTCTCTGCTTCACACTCAACGTCCCTCAAAGTGGTAAATGGCCTTGCCGAGTCTCAAACTCCTTTATCAAGCTACGAAGAACCTGAGGTCCAGGAAGCCCTGAAGATATCATTGTCCCGCGAGGTTCAGCTGCCAACCCAGGGTACGTCATCCACGGAGGAGTCCAGTCAGGAAGTTCCAGTGGCCTTGGAGGAGCTCCAGACAAAGCACCTCCCTTCTCTAGCTGTACTTGTGCCCTTGATCCCAACCGTACAGGCCTCTTCAAGCACCTCCTGCACCACTACTGTCCTTGGACCACCACCTGGTTTGGCACCACTTGTGCAGCCAGTTGTCCTTGAGGTGCCAGAGCAAAACAAGTCATCGGACAATGTCCAAATAAAGGTTCAGGATGCTTCAGAATCACAAACTCAGAACAACTCTAGAAAGTTCATACCCTCAGGTATTTGTTCTTCACATGATTTGTGTTATAAATCAGGCAAAATTAAAAGTTCAGATAAGCAGTTGCTAATTTTATTGTCCTTTTTGTCATAGCCCAAGCTGTTTCTGTTGTACCAAAGTCTTGGAAGAAACCAAATGAAGATGTTCTGATGGTGGAAACACTGCCAAAGGAAAATGAGGTGAGATAGGCTATTATTCTTAACAAAAAAAGTAAATTAAAAAAAAAAATTATTACTTAAAATAAAAATAACATACAATACCTGGGGAAAACTCAAAATAAAAATAAATTTAGATTTTATTGTTTTGTTTTGGATTTTCATGGCTCAAAAAACTAAACTAAATTTAAAAATATATATATATATATTTTATTATTATTATTACTTATTTATTTATTTAGATTTTTGGGTTCATAAAAAAGGCCTACAAAAAACAAACTTAATTAAACCTTTACAATCCTTCTGCATTAAACATGAAAATGTGAAATGTGTTGATAAATGTAATGTTTTTAATAATATTAAATAATAAAATGATAAAACCTGTCAAATAAAATCTAAATGAACAGACTGAAAAAAAATTCAAAAAAATGTATAAATAAATAAAACTAACAATAATCATGAATAACACTGAACACCACTGGAAACTAAATTGAAAAGACACATTTTTAATTTAGTGGATATTTCAGTTTGTCTTTCCAGTTTAGTTTTCTGTGGTTTTCACTCTATTTTTAAGTTATAATAACGGGTACCCTGTCGGTGGAAAAGGGATATTGGAATGTTGGAAAAGGGAGAATTGCAAAATCCCTCCACATAACATAACAGACTAATGACATTGTTATCATGGCACAAACCATTATGCAGTAATTCATCTCACATAACGCCTCCAGGCCCTTGTGTAATGCTGCTTTTCTTTGCTTCACATCAGGAGGAGACCTCAAAGGACAGCTCTGCTGGTGATGAGATGGTCTTACAACCAACCTTAGGGACCTACAGCAGCCCATTTACAGTGCCTGAGCACCAGGAGAAGCTCTCAGAGGAGAATGGTGAGACTGAAACGGAGCCTTTCAGGAATGGGGTGGAGACAGAGAGCACTGACAGTGGCGTTACACTCGGGGACAGCAGGGGGTCCATGTGTTCACCCACTCCACTCATGCAGGAAGGTAAGACTTCCCACAGGAACTAAATTAAGTTCTGATCTTTTCATTTTAGTGTAGATTTGGGGTGTAACGGTACACGTATTTGTACCGAAAATTTTGTGTGTACCGAACAAATAGGCTACAGCATTGCTTCAACCACTGCACTTAATATATTGTTACTTTTTAAAGAAACAAAGTCTCATCTTTCAAATTCTGACAATTTTTTCTGTAAATTTAAACAGTACATGCCGATTTGGCGCTCTTTGATGTGGCGAGACGCCTCAGTTCAAACTGCAGAGTGGAGCTCAAGTGAACACAATCATCCCTTCCTCTTTACTACTACTTTTAACGTGAAATAAACATGAATGAACGTCTCATGCCTCATGCAATCACCCAATCAGTGTTTCAACCGCGGAAAGATGTCAATAAAACAGCTTGTAAACAAAACGTCACGTAGCATTTCATTTACCTCAGGCAAGTCATCAGTGTCCACATCTTGTTTGCTCGCTAGAGAAATTAAGTCTAGAGAAGAGCATTTTGCGAAATATTGGACTACATACTCATTATATTTTACTTTACCTGTTAGTAATGTCTTAATTATTTAATGCATGTTTAAATAAATCTGTTATGAAAGAAGTTATGATAGCCACTGTGTAAATGAATATATTTCAACAACAAATATGCTAGAAATTTTATAATTTAGAAGTTCATTTAAAAACTGCATTATGTGCGGTATACATGTTTACCATACATTTTTTTTTAAAGTTTTAAGTGTTGATTATTATATTTAAAAATAAATAGTAATTCAATTTAAGTTTGGGCTCTGTTGTTAATTGTAACCTTATAGTAATGTAAAAGGGCTCCCTGTTTAGAGCATAACCTAAGGTAGATTTTTATCCTTAAGAAAATTGTCATTTGAACTTTAATTGTAATTGAATTAATTTAAATAAAAAGCCATTTGTTCAGTAAACCATTGTTTAATAATAATAAAAAAAGCAATTTTATGTATAGTTTCCCCCCCCGCTGTACCAAAACCATACCAAACCGTCATGTTTGTGTACCGTTACACCCCTAGTGTAGATACATATTTCTTTCATTCATTGGATATCGAAGTTATCCTGTTTGTTAAATAGCCATTAGACTTTGGTTTACAGCACAGAATTTTCATTTTTGGGTGAACTATCCCTTTAATTACTCGCCCTCATGTCGTTCCAAACCCGTAAGACCTTTGTTCATCTTCGGAACACAAATTAAGATATTTTTGATGAAATCCGAGAGCTTTCTGACCCTGCATAGACGAAGCTATGAGGATACTTTTTGTGTGCAAAGAAAAAAAAAATAATGACTTTAGTCAACAATGCGTCTCCTCTGCGTCACCCTGGCGCCATTTTGGAGAGTATCACATATGTAAACAACGTGTGCAACGTATGTATGCGGATACGTTGTTTACGTTCAGATCAAAGCGAAAACGGCGTATCCGCGTACAGTGCTGCTGACACAGAGCAGCATATGTTGTTTACGTATGTGATACTCTCCAAGTTCATCTTCGGAACACAAATTAAGATATTTTTTATGAAATCCGAGAGCTTTCTGACCCTGCATAGACGAAGCTATGAGGATACTTTTTGTGTGCAAAGAAAACAAAAATAATGACTTTAGTCAACAATGCGTCTCCTCTGCGTCACCCTGGCGCCATTTTGGAGAGTATCACATATGTAAACAACGTGTGCAACGTATGTATGCGGATACGTTGTTTACGTTCAGATCAAAGCGAAAACGGCGTATCCGCGTACAGTGCTGCTGACACAGAGCAGCATATGTTGTTTACGTATGTGATACTCTCCAAAATGGCACCAGGGTGACACGGAGGAGACGGATTGTTGAATAAAGTCATTATTTTTGTTTTCATTGTGCACAAAACGTATTTTCGTAGCTTTGTACAATTATGGTTGATCCACTGATGTCACATGGATTATATCTCCTTGCTACGTTTCTGAGCCTTGATTGTGTAAGGATCCTTGGGAGGGTCAGAGAGCTCTCGGAATGCATCAAAAATATCTTAATTTGTGTTCCGAAGATGAACGAAGGTCTTATGGAGTTGGAACGACATGAGGGTGAGTAATTAATGACAGAATTTTCATTTTTGGGTGAACTATCCCTTTAATGACAGAATTTTCATTTTTGAGTGAACTATCCCTTTAAGAGTTTTGTTGTTGTTTGTATCACCAAAAAGCACTTTACAATTGTATACTGTTTTTGTTGATAAATTGCGTAATATATCTGGCCTACTATTGCTGTGCTTTTTCCAGGTCTTGTGCAGTCTAATGGAAAGAGACAGTATGACCGGGACTTCCTGTTGGGTTTTCAGTTTATGCCGGCCTGTGTGCAGAAGCCAGAGGGACTGCCTCAAATCAGTGATGTGGTGCTAGACAAGGTGGTTTTTGTTGTTGGTATTTCTTATGTTGTCAGAAGAGTTGGAGTCAACTCGAATTCAGCTGTCTAACTGTTTCTTGGATTTTGTAGGCATACACACAATTTACTTTTGATAAATAATAGTATTACTGTGTCATATATGAAACATATCAAAGGATCATGTGACACTGGATACCGGAGTAAAGGCTGCTGAAAATTCAGCTTTGCAATCACAGGAATAAATTACGTTTTAAAATATATAATAAAATAGAAAATAGTTATTTTAAATTGTTATGGGAGTCATCGACCTTGTGTTTGAGAAGGCCATAGATGAGCCCAGCTTCTCTGTGGCCTACGCCAACATGTGTCGCTGTCTGACTACGGTAGGTTTCGTACACTTTGGAGTTAATTGTGCATTGCGCGATTGTGAAATTTCCATGTTTGTTTTCTTTGGACTGTCCGTTAATTGCCTCGTATTATTCATTCTTAATTATGTCATGGGTATTTCTTCCTCTTGTGATCCAATTGTAGCTAAAAGTGCCCACTGCAGACAAACCTAATACTACGGTAAACTTCCGGAAGCTGCTATTGAACCGCTGTCAGAAGGAATTCGAGAGGGACAAAGTGGACGACGTTGTACTTGAGAGAAAACAAAAGGAGCTGGACTCTGCCACATCAGTAATTATTCAATAATGATTATCAGGAATTAATTTAGACTTGCTTGTCTTAGTAGTCTTTTTGACTTTCTGTCTGTAATGGCCATTTAAATGTAGTCATTTAGATGATGCTTTTATACAAAGCCAAAGTCAAATGATGACAATAGAAGCAATATTTATGAACAATATTCACTTGGTATGCTCCGATCTGCCTTTTTCGCCTATGATATGGATTCCGATACCGGGGATTCAGGTATACGAAGTCAGTGCAGTTTTTTTCTTTTAAATCAATGTAGAATTTCTAAATCTCTGTGTGTGGAACTGATAATCACTCTTCCACAATCTACTGAATACAGACTTCTTAATTATAAAGAAAAAATCATTAAAAATGTATAGAATGTATGTATATTCATAATCTGTGACAAAAATCAATTATAAACAAAGTTAGTGGATAATTCCTTATTTGTCATAAAGTGCCACATTTCACAACCTGTGTTTTTGGCAGACTGGCTTGAATATAAGCTGTTTTTAGACTAAAGCCCCGTTCACACCAAGGATGATAACTATAAAGATAACGATATTAGCGTCCACACCAGCAAACGATATCGTCGGTTTATTCTAAGTGCACATGTCTGCCGCTTTAAATTCTCGAGCTCGTTGTAGCAGGATGGATTCTGATTGGCTGTCAATGTTTGTATCGTTCATCAGTTGGAAAAATTAGTTCTGAAAATGATTCCAACTATATTGTTTCTCTGTGCCTTTATCGTTATAGCTGTGGTGTGGACTCTGCAATTCTTTAATATTGAGAACGATTTTTAGAACTACAACTTTATCGTTATCTTTATAGTTATCGTGCTTGGTGTGAACGGGCCTTAACAAGAAAGTTTTGGGTTCTGAAACTTACAGAATGTTTTTTATAGTATAGTGACCTCTTAAATGTTAAAAAATCATTGGAATTTTGATTTCTCAGTTCATGGCCCCTTTGAAAAGCATTATTGGAAGCATTATGGGATTTCTATGCAACTCTTTTTTTTTTTAGCCTACAGAAAGGGAAAGACTGCAGGAGGAGCTAGAGGAGGCGAAGGACAAGGCTCGGCGTCGCTCCACAGGAAATATCAAATTCATCGGTGAGCTGTTCAAGCTCAAGATGCTGACAGAGCCCATCATGCATGACTGTGTGGTGAAACTACTAAAAAACCATGACGACGAGAGCTTAGAGTGCCTCTGCAGACTCCTCACTACCATCGGCAAAGACCTTGACTTCGAGAAAGCCAAGGTAACTTGCCCAACAGTTTGTTATTATACATTCTGGAGCCGTATTGATTCGTATTTCACAAGATCAGTGGTGAAAATCCCTTGAAAAGGGAAATTAGAAAGGCATAGAATATTTTGCTTTTTATTTAAATCATCTAATATGACCATTATGGAAACTAGAACCACTGTAAAACCTCATCTCACTAATAGAAAATGTATGGTCCACTTAGCAAACTGCTGAAGAACTTCCCTCTGAGACAGGAAGGTAACTAGAAGTAAGTAGGGTCTGAAATTAACACTTGTCAAGCACCAAATAAGATTTAAAAATATTTTTTTGCAATGACATAGGGTTGATTTGTGAGGAATTGCAACATACTGCATGGATTAAGTCAAATTGTAAGAGTAATAGTATAACCCTCCCTGATGTAAGTGACTTTAAATTAAAGACATACAAACCATCTACTAAAGAAAACATTTTTCATGACTTGCACATCTTGTAATGTCTTGTACCTTAGTGGAAAAAAATCGCAATTTATCTAGGATGCTAAAGATTACGTTTTCTATGAAACAGCTAAACATTGTCAAGAAATATTCACAGTATGGTTGGTAAATATTGGTAAAAGTTTGGCAAAACATCAATTTCAAACAGAGTTTTTTAATTATTATTTTTACTGGAAGGTATGTCATAAATCATGTGCAGATGTGCTTCTAAGTTCCTCAAAGAAAATTATTTGTATATCCTGGAACAATTCAATGCCAGAACCTTGCAAATATTGGCAAATCCTGTAATTGGTTTCACCTTCGAAGTGCACAGTGTGGGAGCATGTTTTGTTTCCAACTAGACTAATAAAATCTTCTTTTTTTTTCATATTTTAAAATGAATTTCATCAGCCATTACTCCAGTCTTCAGTGTTGCATTATATTTTAGAAATCATTATAATGTGCTGATTTGCTACTAAAAAGCATTTCTTATTATTATCAATGTTGAAAACACTTGTGCTGCTTAGTATTTTTGTGAAAACTGATACATTTTATCAGCATTCTTTGGTGAATAGCAAGTTTAAACGACAGTCTTAATTTGAAATTGAACTATTTTGAACAATGTAAAAGTTTTAACTATGACTTTTGATCAATTTAATAAATCTATAATAATAAAAAAAAACATTTTACTGATCTTAAATCTTTGAACTGTAGTGTAAGTGAAACATTTAAAATTGTATAATGTTACATTATCACTTGACCTCATTACGTTGCAGTGAGCATCTTCTAAATAACATGCAGTAAATGAAATGGCATTCGAATTGAATATAGAAATCTTTTAATGCAATTATACTGTAAATTAAATGGAAGATCATATTGCATTGAATACATTTGCATTGTGGGAAATGGAATTCCACCCAGTGTGCTCTGTTGTGTACTGTACATTTTGGAAAATTTTGTAGCTTACCTTGGTAATTTAAGCATAGAGAAAATGTTCATGCTGTGAACATTATACATACAATACAGTAGTATGTACTGCAGCACTAGTGCAAGTAGTATAGTATGCTATTCTTCTCAACATAGCCTGTTTACTAAGACGGACAGATCTTAGTATTGTTTGTGTGCATTGTTGTTACGGTGGGCTTTGCTGTGCTTAGAAGGCCCAGAGCTTTGACTGGAAAGGTTTCCCAGCGCAGCTCCTTATCATCATGGCATGACTGTGGTAGCTTTGGGATTTTCATCTTTAATCTGATCGTAAATATGTTGAAATGCCTTTGTCATTTGAAGTACTTCATTGAAATGACATTGTAGCTGTACAATGGACTGAGCTGGGAAAATGTCATTTAAATATGCTGCAGTGCAAAGCAAAAGAATGAGGAATATTCAGGCATGGGGTAAATATAATTTGAGCACTATACACGGTCTAAATGTGTTCCAGCTGGGCCCAACAGACGCCCATAAACCCTGGAGCAAAGTATTAGGCAAGAGGGTAGATGTTTTCTGTATGCTTCCTTTCTTTCTTGCTGACCTTGCGGCAGGAACTTCAGGCGTTCTTCAGCTCGCAGGGAGTCAGGCCGGGAAATAGGTTCTGCATTTATTGACCTTATTGATTTAGGAGCAGTTCTTTACCTCAAACTTTACTTTTAGATTTACAATGGCTCCCTATATGTCCTGTACCCCATAATGGATGGGTACAGGAAGATCTGTGCTACATGATCACACATCGCTGCCACAATAAAGAAGTCTGTCTTCATTTATAATCAGTGATTTTGTTATGATCGACATGGGCACATGGACACATGAACTCAGTATTTGATATTCAACTGATATGTTTTTCATCACTCGCTGCTCTGTGTCCTTGAATAGCCCCGTATGGACCAGTACTTCAACCAGATGGAGAAAATTGTCAAAGAGCGCAAGACATCGTCACGGATACGGTTCATGCTACAGGATGTGATAGATCTGAGACTGGTAAGTGCCATGGGGGATTGTGATTGTGTTTGTTTGTATGTGTGTGTTAAGAGAGTGTACAGACCTTTATAAAGGCCTGGTTTTGAGTAACAGGGAGAAGCAAAAACATCTGTGTGGTGTTTTTGCGCTCTTATTTTTTAAACGTCATAATATAAATAATATATATTATTATTATTATTATTATTATTATTATTATTATTTAGTCATTTAGCAGACGCTTTTATCCAAAGCGACTTACAAATGAATATACTTCATAAATAAATAATAAAAATCTATAGTGTTTTATGAGGCACAAAAGTGTTTTGAATTTCTGACTTACTTGGGGTTTTCTTTATAATTATTGCAAATTGTCTTTGTCAAATATTTTAATGTTTTTGAAAGAAGTCTCCTATGCTCACCAAGGGTGCATTTTTTTTTATCAAAAAATAAATAAATCTAGTGGTTCAGTAGTACAGTAAACAGGGCCGGATTTACCTCTTTTCGTGACATAGGCAAAACAAATTTTTGGGCCTCCCTTCCCTATTAATATAATAGGCCTAATATTACCACCCAAACAAACAAAAATATTATGGGGATATTATGGGGAACGCCTCGTCGTGACCCCTGTCTGAAGCATACATTTAAAAAACACCAACTCGTTGGCCGGCGACAGCCATGACGTCACTACCGGTGCAACTATAGTATAAATAGGTGCCGGGAGCTACACATCATTCACTTCTTCGTCTGAAGCTTGCATCTGCAGCATGGCAAGAAACCTAGAGGACGCAGTGTCTCATTCCCTACTCAGGGAACCATGGTTACATAAGTAACCTGAGACGTTCCCTTTCATGGGAACTTCGAACTGTGTCCTCTAGGGGTCGTGCTGAGGGGAGTGCAAGCCAGAACCATGGCAAGCACTAAGTACCAACTCTACCATATTGCTATGGGAGTCGCCCCTGGGACGTTAGACAGCTGTCAGTGACGTTATTCCCTACGGCCAAAGGCCTAGGCTACATACCCCAAAATACTTACCTGTTAGGGCCAGAATCCTGGGCCCGGGGTAGAGCTCAAGGCTTGGAATCAGAAATAGATTCCTTTAAGGGAATACGGCCAAGAGCCTAGAATCATACTAGTCTTGGCCTGTCACACAGGGGCTACCGCACGTTTCTCTTTGTATGTGCTGAAGGAACTGTCTCAACAGACCCTTAGTAGCAACACCCTGTTAAGTAGGTATCCAGGGGATACATAGGAGGAGTGATGCCCAAGGCGGAACCGGGGTTTTAAACCACTCAAAGAGAGCATGAAGTCTTTGCGCGTAGCTCTTAAGTTGAGGTATCACTCTGATCCGGACAAAAGCACTGACGCCCTGTCTGGATCACATCCCTTAGGTCTTTTACTCACCTTCCTTTGACCCGCGATTCTTCCTACCCCTACCGTGGGCGGGGGAGGAGCGCGTGCCGCGACAATAGCCTTCTGAGCCAGTCTCTGATCCTCAAACTGAGATGGGCTAGGACCCCTGGGTTGTTCGGGCTCAGACCTGGACTTCTATCCCGGTCCTTCAGCCGGTCAGCCTGATATGCTTGGAGCATCACCATTGTGTGCAATGAAGCGACAGCCTGACCTGCTGCTGCTGCGTATGCCCTGGCATCCGAGCGATATGTCAAGGAAGGGAGTCTTAGAGGACGTCTCACCCATAGAGAGATAGCTGACCAGCGTCTCTCTATAGGGGCATCTTCTCATAACCGCTTTTGCGCATCGCATCGATGTTGGCATAACTTGTATGCTGGAATCGATGGATGCGTGAAGAAAAACGGCCTCTTCCATTCCTTCTCAATCTTTATAGGAAAAAAACAGGAAGAAAGGAAGGCTCACCTGAGCTGGAGGGTTTATGGTCAGAAAAATAACGTTCATCGAGATATTTCTCGACGTCACTTCTTCACCCTCTTCACGGCAAGTAAAGCCTCACCGTGGCGCGCTCCATAATTTCCAAAAGCTCATCATACGCAGGGCAGGAAAATTGGGAAGGCTCAGCCTCAGCTTCTTTGCCCTCCTCAGCTATTTCCTGCTTTTGCTGGGCTGATCCCAGCAGAGCAATGGCCCATGAATCAGACAATGTTAATGAAATAACATCATCCTCCAGCGGCTCACTCTCGTGCACAGCCGACGATCACGAAAGGGAAACCCCCCTTCAAACTCATCGGCCAGATCCACCTGCGATCCCCACGAGCTCATTCCCTTCCGTGCCTCAGCAGCGGCGGGTCCTGGATCGCGGGAAGCAAATGGCTGCCCCTCTTTCCTCGAAAAGAGAGACAAACGAGAGCGGAGCTTCTTTTTTTCTTGGAAAAAACGCTCGCAGTGCACGCCGATTGCCCTCTCGGAGACATCGCTTGCATGCTCTTTGCCCAAACAAAACAACGCATAGATCGTGTGTGTCATCACATGTTAAACAACGTCAACATGGATGCACACATCCTTAAATGCTTTGCTAGTGCTCGCCATAATGAGATAAATAGAGATCGCTCTTACCACAGAAATGCACGCTTCAAACAAAACAGTCAATGAAGACGAAGAAGAGAATGATGTGTAGGTCCCGGCGCCTATTTATATTATAGTCGCACCGGTAGTGACGTCATGGCTGTCGCCGGCCAACGACATTTGTTTGAGAACTGAGAAAGACCATTCCATTAATAGGCGCGGCGTTGTGGACACATAACCACTTCGTGAGTGCATTATTTCTCTAATAATTTTAACAGCCTGGAGTCATAATCACACATCAATTGTTCAGATGATTTGGCATTTGACATAGTGTGTGTTGAACTAGCAAATTTTTTACGCACCTCATCTCAAACGTTCCGTTGAAAATTCCAAAATGTAATTTTAGTAATAGTATTATATATAGTATTTTAGATCATTTTAAAATGCATATAAGAAATTATATAATATAATATAATAATATATTATTTAATAAAAGCAATCATTTTAATTAATAATAATTTATAGATTATAATTTATATAATTTTAATTTAAAATTAGTTTTTAATAAATGTAAAAAATATACATTTAAATTAGTAATCATTTTAAATGTGTATTGTTTTAGAAGCAGTGGAAAAAGGCCCAGAAACAGAAACACTGAACTCAATGGCCCAGAAACAGCCACAGGTTAAACAATGTCATCAGCAAGGTCATAACTTTTGGCCATGACATTAAATTCATGTCTGTTTGCAAGTGGCATAGTTTAGTGGTGTCTCTCCCCTGCATTCCTCAGTTTTTGTTTTATCTTTTGAGTGATAAAAATGTGTGAGAGAGAAGAGACAAAAAGAGGAGGGATACTTCTTTCAACATTGTGAAGCCTTTATTGTACCCAGCTTTAAAAAGAAATCTGAATAGTTTGTCGTTTTATATAGTTTCGAGGTAATTGTAATGTATTTCCCAGAATGACACTGATCCATTAATCATGGATTTCTGATCTCTCTCTGATTATTTATATTGTCCAGCATAACTGGGTATCCCGGAGAGCAGACCAGGGTCCTAAAACCATAGAGCAGATCCATAAAGAGGCCAAGCTGGAGGAACAGGAAGAACAGAGGAAGGTTCATCAGCAGCTTCTGTCTAAGGACATAAAGAGGAGGCCAGGTGAGATCCACAGCGTGTTTCTCTAGCTATAGCAGGCCAACTACAGCGCCACCCAGAGGACAAAACCGCATTTGATAAGGCATGAACATCAAAACATTAATGGGAACATGTTGTTCGGACAGCAGGCTTTGCAGACAGCAAACAGCTTGTTTGTAGAGGAGAACACATTAATGGTTAAACAGGTTTGATTGTGCTTTTGGGTTTGTTTATGCGACAGTAACTTGACAGGTTTCTTATTTTATAGGTGGAAAAAATTCTGATTTAAAATAGTAAGGAATATGACGGCTTGTGTGTAAGTAATGACAGAAATCAAATTTTTGGGTGAACTATATTTTAAAAGTGTTTTAGAGCTTCACATAACTAGAAAAATGTTTATGTAGTATAGAACTGTATTACTTTTTTGATATCTTAGTAATTTTCATGACACTTGCAAGTCTGAATGACACTATTACTATTCCCTTTTATGTCCAGTTATTGAGGTAACATATTAAAATTAGAAATATGCTCTGAATTAAAGGGTTAGTTCACCCAAAAACTCACCCTCGAGGCATCCTAGGGATATATGACTTTCTTCTTTCAGACGAATCCAGTCGGAGTTATATTAAAAATTGTCCTGGCTATTCCAAGCTCTATCATTGCAGTCAGCAGGTGTTGCAGTTGAACAGTTCACAAGTCGTCAAGTAAAGCGTGCGCATCCATAATAAAACGTGCCTCACACGGCTCCGGGGGGTGAATAAAGGCCTCCTGTAGCGAATCCATGTGTTTTTGTAAGAAAAATATCCATATATCAAACGTAATAAACACTTTTCTCTCTCATCCGGTATCTGTCATACGCGGAAGCCGTTCCAGCGGATGACGTAGGATGTCGGCGTTGCGTGATCAGTGACGAATGCAGAGAGAACAAAACAAAATGCCGGTCACGAATTAGAAGTACAAACCAAGGATTTGTAAAGAAAAATGTCGGAGGATTTCGATATAAACCAAGAGGAGACTGGTTTTCGTTTGCTAAAGTAAGGAAACATTGCTTCCTTTGCCTGGCTATTCCAAGCTCTATCATTGCAGTCAGCAGGTGTTGCAGTTGAACAGTTCACAAGTCGTCAAGTAAAGCGTGCGCATCCATAATAAAACGTGCCTCACACGGCTCCGGGGGGTGAATAAAGGCCTCCTGTAGCGAATCCATGTGTTTTTGTAAGAAAAATATCCATATATCAAACGTAATAAACACTTTTCTCTCTCATCCGGTATCTGTCATACGCGGAAGCCGTTCCAGCGGATGACGTAGGATGTCGGCGTTGCGTGATCAGTGACGAATGCAGAGAGAACAAAACAAAATGCCGGTCACGAATTAGAAGTACAAACCAAGGATTTGTAAAGAAAAATGTCGGAGGATTTCGATATAAACCAAGAGGAGACTGGTTTTCGTTTGCTAAAGTAAGGAAACATTGCTTCCTTTGCTACTATAAACAAACTCGCGAGATTAGCATATCTCAGAGGTGTGCTGCGTCATCCGCCGGAACGGCTTCCGCGTACCACAGTCAGCGGAAGTGATAGAAAAGTGTTTATTATGTTTGAAATATGGATATTTTTTATACCAAAACGCATGGATTTGCTACAGGAGGCCTTTATTCACCCCCCGGAGCCATATGAGACACGTTTTATTATGAATGCGCAAGCTTTATTTGACAACTTGTGGACTGTTCAACTGCAACACCTGCTGACTGCAATGATAGAGCTTGGAATAGCCAGGACAATTTTTAATACAACTCCGACTGGATTCATCAGAAAGAAGAAAGTCATATACACCTAGGATGCTTCGAGGGTGAGTTAAACACAGGCTAATTTTCATTTTTGGGTGAACTAACCCTTTAAGACTGAAAAGCTGAAATAATTAAAAAATCACGTTTCAAAAAAGAAATATGCTTGGAATTGTGCTGAGGCCTCTTAGTGAGTCCTGAGCCCCTAAACCTCTGCTTTAAACATTAAATAAAACCCTTGCCATTTCGGATTTCAGTGTTCCGTGGCTATTATAGGCTAGTGGTGATCTTTTGTGAACTAACCCTGCCCTGTGTCTTTGGTTTTAGATCAGAGAGATCAGCGCTCGCAGAGGGAGGAGACGTGGAACACTGTGCCCACTACTAAGAACAGCAGGACCATTGACCCCACAAAGATCCCCAAGATCTCCAAGGTGAAAAAATGGTCACTGCACAAACGCTTCATATTTTACACATAAACCTCATTTTTGAATGTGAATCAGAGGGTAGAGTTGATTGAGGTAACACTGCCACCTGCTGATTATAAAGACAATTGTTAAGTGCAGCACAGAATAGGTTGACATTGCCATGTGCTTTAACAATCAATGATGAGTCATTTTAGCATCTGTGATGTAGTGATGAGGTAGTAATACTCTCGTACCCTCTATGTCCTCTGAACCCCAACCAATCCCCCACTACAGCCTCAAATCGATGAAAAGATCCAGCTGGGTCCACGGGCACAGATCAACTGGATAAAGGGCAGCAGTGGTGGAGCCAAAGCTAGTGACTCTGGTGAGGAATCTCCAGAAAAGATTCATGAATCTTAAATTGACTGCTCATTCAGTAAAGTTTAGATGACTGTTTTACATATTCTGTATGTACACATCCATTCCCATATTTCCAGAGTTAACACGCTCTTGCAGTAGCACCCTGAACCGTTATTCAGCGCTACAGTCGTCCGCGTCTCAGCCCAGCCCACCTCCGGCCCAAACCTCTGATTCCGATTCCAGACGCCCACTGGGAAGGTATCCAACAGATGAGATACAAATGTAGAGTTTAAATGAATAAAAGTTTGACATCTTTTAATTTGTCTTATTTTGTATGTCTCTGCCAGTCGAGGCAGCACCGGTCGTGAACGCAGTGAAAAGTCGGTGAGTTTGGGGCCGTCACGACCGGGGCCCTTCAGCCGAGGTAGCAGCGCAAAGGAGCTAACAGACAACGTGGCCCCTCAGGAGACACAGAGGGAGGGACCTGACTCACACCACACACCTCGCAAAGTCAGCATCTCAGAGGAGAAATGTGAAATAGAGAACAATAGAGCCACGGAGACATGTGAGGAAGGACACATGCTTACACTAGTGAACACACATACATTAAAGCTGCCTTTTCCATTACTTGTGTACTAAACATTATATATTCTAAATACTGAGCTTCTGTTTCATTGCAGTGAAATCTGAGACGCTACAGGTCGCTGGTGTTTCAGAGAAGCCCATCCTGTCCGAAGAGGAGGTTGAGCGGAAGTCCAAATCCATCATTGATGAGTTTCTGCACATTAATGACTACAAGGTACATCACAGGACCTGTGGGTACATCTCACCAGCTTCCTTGTCACTATTACGCTACAAGAACATTTTACCATATTTTTCAATCATTTATGTAAAAATTCAGTTTAAAACAACACGCACGACTTTTATAGACAAGAATATATGATAGAAGGGTTGCGCAGTCCTGGAGATTTATTTTTTAATGTCAATATGGCCTTTTTCATTTCTTCACCTTGATGTATTTAGAAAGTCTGAATTTCATTGTAATAGTGTCTGTCTATGTGTGTGCCTGCCATCATACAGCTTTATTATTGCGTTTGATTAAGTATGTGTAAAGCAACTTTGAATATCTGCTGTGTGATTGTTTGTCAGTACTGTAAACCATTTGAATGTGTGCTGTGTCTGTTTATGGGTGCAGGAGGCAGTGCAGTGTGTAATGGAGATGGATCAGCCCTCTCTGCTGTTTGTGTTTGTGCGCATGGGTCTGGAGTGCACACTGGAGCGCAGCCAGAAAGCCAGAGAGCACATGGCACTGCTGTACTATCAGCTTATTCAGAAGGGCATCATACCCCATTCCCAGCTCTACAAAGGGTGAGCACACACACATTAAGATCAGATGTATTTATTAGTACTTTCTTACTATGGTAGTAAAGCACTGTGGTTTGTCCCTGTCTCTTGGCTCTGTAGGTTTTCAGAGATGCTGGAGCAGGCTGATGATATGGCCATAGATGTTCCCTTCATTTGGCTTTACCTGGCTGAGCTGCTCAGTCCTTTGCTGAGAGAGGGAGGAATCAGTATGAGAGAGCTGTTCAGGTCAGGATTCCATTGGTCATGACCAGAGCATGTGAGCGAAGCGGAGCGGTGTGACGCTCCACTACGTTTTCCACTCTATGGACGTGCGCGAACGGCATTCTGGGTTGAGCGAGCGGCACTGAGCGTATTGAGCGAGCGGAGCGGAATCTTCAGAAAGGCGCTCTGCGCTCTTAAGAAAATATTACCACTCCGCTCCCACTCCGCTCCGCTCACATGCTCTGGTCATGACAAACACTGAAAAAGAAAGGTCTTATGAGTTCTGTTTGGTGCTTTTGTGTAATTTGTGATTAAAAGCACATTCCACCCCTAAAAACCTATTACATGTTTTCCTTGATTAATAGATGGATGTTCTTTTGAGGTGGAATCTCCTTTCAAAGGATGGTTTAAGAAATGCATGTACTGTTAACGCTCCAGTACAAGGTCAAGATATTATTCATATGTGACCCTAGACCACAAAACCAGTCTTAAGTCGCTTGGGTATATTTTTAGCAATAGCCAACATTGGTCAAAATTATCGATTTTTCTTTTATGCCAAAAATCATTAGGGTATTAAGTAAAGATCATGTTCCATGAAGATATTTAGTAAATTTCCTACCGTAAATATATCAAAACTTAATTTTTGATTAGTAATATGCATTGCTATGAACTTCATTTGGACAACTTTTAAGGCGATTTTCTCAATATTTAGATATTTTGCACCCTCAGATTCCAGATTTTCAAATAATTGTATAATATTTGTAATAATAATTGTATAATAATTGCCAAATATTGTCCTATCCTAACAAACCATACGTCAATGGAAAGCTTATTTATTCAGCTTTCATATGATGTATAAATCTCAATTTCAAAAAATTGACCCTTATGACTGGTTTTGTGGTCCAGGGTCACTTTATAAAACAACACTGTCCTACAACTTATATTAATAAAATAGCTTCTCTACTGAATCTCTACATTATATTTCTCTATCTCTCTCTCTCACGCGCTATTTACTTATTCATTAAAATAAATGAAATCTTTAAAGCAGGCAGAATGAAAATAGAACGAAATAGAACGAAAATAACCGTCATTTTTTTTTTGTTAATAATATTTTTTAACATCTAATCAAAAAGCATCCTCAGTCACCTTGTCACTATTACGCTCCAAGAACACTGTACCATATTTTTCAATAATTTATGTAAAAAATCAGTTTAAAACAACACACTCAACTTTCGCAGACAAGAATATGTTATCAAAGGGTGGGCTGCATCCAAAGCAGGTCATACAGTCAGAAATGTTACAGTTTTGTAAATTTTTTGGACAAAGTCGATATGGATATTGGATTGTTATTTGAGACTGGTAAGCTGAATAAGATGGACTACAGAATTTAGTACTAAAAAAAATTATTTTTGGAAACATCTCATTGTATTGGGTCTATGACTTCTGGGGCTTTAACAGTTTGGCAGTGCACAGTAGTTGCAGTCATTCCAGGTCCTTGCAGGCTCCAGCTGTCATAGTGATTCCGTTTAGCATCTAATGGAGATTTGTTTTGTTTCTGCAGTGAGTTAAGTAAACCGCTACTCCCTGTGGGAAGAGCTGCCATCTTATTTTCTGAAATACTGCACCTACTATGCAAACAAATGGTAAGCTTAACTTTTGTTGACATGGTGTTTAGAACATTGACATCATCTTTATCTAGTTGTCATCTCAGGTTTAGTGCTCCTGCATGATGCTTTTCATGCATAGACACCTCTATGACAATAACAATATGCAGTAAAGTAGCTTTGTGTATTGCGAGTTTGTGTGTTTACATGCGTCTGGTTGTGCTACAGAGCCATAGGAAAGTTGGAGATTTGTGGAGAGAGTCTGGGCTGAACTGGGCCGACTTCCTGCCTGAGGGAGAACATCTTCCTACCTTCATCTCACAACAGGTGAGAATGTAGCCTAAACATTTATAAAGGAAGTACATTTTTTATGACAGTAGTTCAGCTGTTTTCAAATTTTCAAAAACCAATGTCAGCTCTATTTTTTTATATTAAGCATTAGAAATGATGACTTATTTTAGTGAAGTACTTTGTTAAAATGGTACTTTAAAATAAATCATACTAGTGAGCATAATAATAAAACAATACAATTCTGCTGTTCATCATTGTTTTAAACTCTGTTTTATTGGTGCTGTTGAATATACATATTTGTATATACACTATTGTTCAAAAGTTTGGCAGCAGTAAGATATCCTTTTAAGCAATGTAATACTTTATTCAGCAAGGACGCAAGACCTTTAAGATTTTGGTAACACTTAAAACCTACATGTATAATGCATTATAATGGGTTATTAAGGGTATAATGCATTGTAATTATTCATAATGTGCATTGTAATACATTATATATTGTCGTAAATAATATAACTGAATTCAAAATACATAGTGTGACAATGAATTGATAAGTGTTATAATGTATTAGTGGTTACAAGTATTCATGAGATTGTACAACGCATTATAAGGTGCATTACAAGGCATAATTAATGCATTGAAACTACTTGTATAATGCATTATACATAAAGGCTTTATGTAAAGTGTTACCAAGATTTATATTTCAAATAAATGCTGATCTTTTAAACTTTCTATTCATCACAAAATATGTTTTTACAAAGATATTAAGAAACCTACCTGTTTTCAACATAAGAAATGTTCCTTGAGAAGCAAATCAGCTTATTAGAATAATTTCTGAATGATCATGTGACACTGAAATTCAGCTTTGCCATCACAGGAATGAATTACATATTAAAATAAATATATATATATATTTTCAATTGTAATAATATTTTTCAGTATTTAAGTTTTTACTATATTCTTTGATCACATGAATGCAGCCTTGTTGAACATAAGAGACTTCTAATAAAAACATGAAGAAAAAAAGCCTGTGGTAGCATAGAGAGAGTTTATGTAGCAACATAGCTACTTTAAAGCAACTTCTAGAACTGTACGAAAAAAAGGTGCTCTAGAACACAAAATCAACCGGTCGTGTCCTTTTCCTCTTTTTCCAGAAGTTAGAGTTTACTGTGTCAGACGTCTCCCCTGTGTCCCCGGCCACAGCTAAACCCAGCCTCAGTCCTGAGGAGCTATTTAAAGAGCTGGAGCACCTTCTGCTGGAAGACATGGCTAGTGATGAACAGATCTTCGACTGGGTCGAGGTGAGACCGATTCCATGGACCTCTCTTATATATGGATCAAGCAGTTCTGCAAAGCCAAAATTCAAGTGTATGAAACGTTTTCAAGAAAGCTGCTTTTCTTTTCAGGCTAATTTGGACGAATCTCAAATGAGTTCCTCTCCATTTTTGAGAGCTTTAATGACAGCTGTTTGTAAAGCAGCAGTTAAAGGTGAGCAAACTACTTTATCAAACGGCTTCATCTCCACCTTCCCTTTACCAATTACTTCCATCTTTTTCTTCTCCAGATGAAAGCACATCCTGTAGAGTGGACACTGCTATCATCCAGAGACGCCTGCCTATATTACATAAGTACCTTAACTCGGACACCGAGCGGCAGCTGCAAGCACTTTACGCTCTTCAGTCTTTGATTGTCGCACTGGATCAACCACCCAGTATGTAGCAGATGCAAATAAAGATGCCAAACTAAACAAATGACTTCTAGGATTGTCATTTTTATCTGCTTCTTTTCGCAGATCTACTCCGAATGTTTTTCGACTGTCTTTACGATGAGGACGTTATTTCGGAGGACGCTTTCTATCAGTGGGAAACGAGTAAAGACCCAGCGGAACAGCAGGGAAAAGGCGTAGCGCTGAAATCGGTCACCGCTTTCTTCACCTGGTTACGTGAGGCGGAGGAGGAGTCTGAGGATAATTGACACAAGCAGGTGGCCGACGCCCAGACACCCCCTACTGACACGAACACAAAAATGCATCCAAACTAAAGGAACTTTGACTTTGAAACGCTGGCTAACTTGAGCTGGACCTCTCTACGAAGCGGAGGGAACACTAAATACTTGTATCATATATATAGAAAATATTTTTGTTTTAAAATTTGACTTTTTTTTTCTTTTGTTACTTTTAAAAGAAGAGACTTGAGATAGGTTCTGAACTCTTTAATTTATTATTTTTTTAAGAGACTGCAAGTATGGAGTTCTATGTAACATTTGCAGGCAAAAAAAACATTGATAGAAATAACAGAATAAACCTGTATCATAACAATAATATTAAGTTTGTTTAAATGTGTCAGCAGCCTCCCTGGATTCATGTGATGCACTTCAAAACAAATCAAATATTTCCTCAGAAATGAAAAAGAAAAATGCATAACATTTTTGGCTCAAGGTGGGGGCTGCTCCAGGATTGGCTAATGTTGCTGAAGGTTAAGGCTGTTTTGAGAAACACCCGCCACTGGTTCTTCTGCTTTGGCTTTTGCTCAACGGACTTTCCGAATAACATGGGAAACACGGTAAAAATGAATATGCATCCTGAATGGAATAAAAATTCAGACATCGTCATCAAATACCTGTATGCATTAAAGGTGAAATGCAAACACTAATGCAAGTCGGAAAATGACCAGGTTTGCTCAGTGTACTTGTGATGAAGAACTACAGAGGAAATGTAAAGCTTGTAAATACATTAAAGAGAAAAATCAGATTTAAAAATGACACTAATGGTGTGCTGTTTGTCTTTGGAGGGAAATTGACAGGATTTTGCTAATACGCCAGCATCTTGAACAGATTATTTGCTGTTGTTTTTTTAATTGAATTGATTTGACACCAAATTGTTTTAAAAGATACTCTGTTAATATTTGGGCAAACATTGAATAATTCTTATTAATAATAAATATAATATGAAAAGTATGTCAAGAAACATATTAGTTCATTTAGATCTTGAGTGTTTAAGGCAGCAGAACTACTTATAAATTACACATTTATTCCTCTCTCGTTATTATATTATTCTAAACGCATCTAATTATGTGTCCTTGAATACATGGTATAATAAAAAAAAAATCAGCAGTTCAAATATATTTAAATATGAAATATATTCTTTGGGATATTTTATTTGCTTTGTTTTCCTTTATTTTCTTTTTTATGACATATTTATTCAATATTAACATGACAAATGTACAATGTGCTTTCCAGAAATACAATCAGTTAACAGCAAATCTTTAAGATATTGTGACATGAATTTGACATCAAATAGACTACAAAAGTAACTCATAAACAATAACCAAGAAACAAATCCAAAATAAATAAATATATAATTTTAAGAGGAAAAGGGTCATTCAAATAAAAAAAAAAAGGTAAAAGCATAATACCATCTATAAGTATTAATATTGTTAAACAGTCACAACCTGTAGAGAAGCACACGGAAAAACATTTCCCATATATATTTCCCTAGATATCTCCAGTAACATAACCCTATAATAAAAACATGTCATTTGGAACAAAAAATAATAATAATAACATTAGAACACAAAATAATCAAGACCATTCTTTATGAATTTTTGAGCCCACCTCCAAGAGGAGGAAAACAGTTCACCCACAAAACCCTAATTGACACACACAAGCATTTTTTTCATGTCTGGAGGCAAGCTATACATTTTATTTATTGTTTTCCTAATTGACTAATAAAATTGCTTAGCATTACGTAATGTAAGCTATTTTATTAATCAGGTTATAACTGTATTATTTTTTTATTAAATATGCATACAAAAAATCTAATATCATAAATAATAAAAAAAACGAATCTGTGAAAATTCAACGGAAACAGCCAGTTAGGGACTTTTACTTTAAATCAGTCGGAGACTTTTAATTTGTCTGGTTTATTCCCACAACTCCACCATGTATGCGTACGTCGTGACGTCAGACGTACAAAGCAAAGCGTGTGCGCGCACCTCCTGAAGTCTTGAACTGGTAAGTCGTTAATTATATGCAACTTTTAATGAATGAAGCGCCGTTTATATAGTAATTGTTGCTTACTTTTACCTTTATTTCAAAACAGACACAAACCACCTTTAAAATGATACGTCGAAATCTATCACGCACAGATTTGCGATAGCAATGCACTAGAACGAACAACAAAGGGTCTGTTTTGAATCTAAGTTGCCTACCTGGACATTTTGAGTATCATAGAACGTGTTGTCTCGATAGGCAGCTCACTAGGTTTCCAAACACAAAACTACCTGCAGTCTGAGCGTTTATGCCTTGCTTCATTCACTTGCAGGCATCAAGCAGCAAAAATGTTCCGACCCAAGCCCACACTGAAGGACAGACAGCACCTCTACAGGCTGATCATCAGCCAGCTGCTGTATGACGGCTACACCGCCATCGCCAACAGCCTGATCAGCGAGGTGAAGCCCCAGAGTGTGGTGTCTCCATCAGAGCAGCTCATGCAGCTGGCCAAGACAGGTATGACTCGAGACACTTTTAGTGCTTAATATTTTTACTGTATAATTGCTAAATAACAAACTAAACAAGTGCCTAATAACTACTTCCATCTACTTTTTTTCTTTGCAATAAAGAATACACAATACAATACACAAAACATTTCAATACACCTACAACAATCTTTACTCTTAAAATCCTGAAGCTAAATCAAGTATTACATCATAAAAGATTTTAACAAGCAACTGAATTAATGTGACCCATACTCTGAATTAGTGCTCTGCATTTATCCCATCCAAAGTGCACACACACATCAGTGAACACGCACACACCTGGAGCAGTGGGCAGCCATTTTTTGCTGCGGCGCCCGGTGAGCAGTTGCTCAAGTGCACCTCAGTCGTGGTATTGAAGGTGGGAAAGAGCGCTGTACATTCACTCCCCCCACCTACAATCCCTGCTGATACGAGACTCGAACCCGCAACCTTTGGGTTACGAGTCCGACTCATTAACCATTAGGCCACGACTTCACCCAATTAGAGTTCTTTAAAGTGTTAGTTCACCCAAAAATGAAAATTCTGTCATTAATTACTCACCCTCATGTCATGTCAAACCTGTAAGACCTTCGTTCATCTTCGGAACACAAATGAAGATATTTTTGATGCATTCTGACAGCTCTCTGAACCTCCCATAGACAGCAAGGATCCTAACACGATCAAGGTGAAGAAACGTATCAAGGACATCGTTAAAATAATCCTTGTGACATCAGTGGTTCAACTGTAATCTTAAAAAGCTACGAGAATACTTTTTGTGCGCAAAGAAAACAAAAATAACAATTTTATTCAACAATTTGTCTCCTCCGCGTCAACCTATAGCGCCATTTTGGGCAGTAGCCTATCAAATACGTAAACAGCGTATGCAATGTACAGTGCACAGCATAAATGAGTACACCCCCTCTAAAACTTAACATATTCAGTGATTACTCTTTACTTAGAAGACATGTTATGGCTTTTTTAGAGATATAATATACCAGCAAGTCTGCTTGATCAATTACCAAAGAAGAATGCCAAAATTATTCAGCAAAATAAGATTTTCTTATCAAAGTGATAAAATGTTGTGTTGCAAAAATTAGTACACCCTCTTAAAAGTTACTAAAAAAAAGTGTATAGGTTTAAGGCTATTTTTGATCAACAGGTAAGTATATTGAACCAAAACTTTTAAAGACAAGTAATTTCCTGACAATTAAAAGTGTTATATAGCCCACTGAATCATACTCAAAACTTAATGCTGCCAGCAGTTGGAACCACTTGGGAGAGAACTGCCAGGTGACTTATTTCTTAGCATAAAAGAGGACAATGGTACAAGAGGAATACCAAATTATTGTTTTAAGTGTGAAAATATAGCAGAAGTAGCACCAAAATTCAAAAACAATGGACTTGTGATAAGGCT